GTTCACGATATCGTAAATGTATCTTTGGATATGAGATTCACTATATAAGATTTAATTAATGCAAATTTCAGAGTTTAAAATAAAAATAAAAATCTTAAGATTAAATTTTTAAGAGTCAGTTTAATGTTAAGGGAACTTTCTATATGTTTGAAAAGATGATAAAAGCTAGTTTATTCATAAAAATAAATGATACCACATAGTATGTATTGATATAAACTGGTATTCAAATAAGATGAGGACTTGATATATATATATATATTTTTTAAATAATACAAATGTTCAAGCTCGAGTCTGAAAACTATTTTTGTTTGAATTTTTTTTTTGAAGGTGCAGATTTTTTCTCCTCTCTGCTCCCTTCCATTCACGATTGGTTTGTTTTTCAGATATTGTGAATTGATTATCTCATTTTAATGAATGAAATAAATAAAGTTAAAAAAATAAAACACATAAGTTCACATTCAATGCAATAATATTCATACACGTCAAGTTGTACAGTTTGTCTGCAAGATAAATAGATTTCCCTTATTTTGTCTGAGAAAATCCCAGATTAAAGCTCAAATCTCAGATTAAACTAGTTAGCTAAAGAGAAAAAACATAATAAAGGAAAGTTCAGTTCCTATGAAAGAGCATTGCTTTCACCAAATTTAAAAAAAAAAATCGACCCTGATCTTGTTATATGGAGATAAAATCTCATGATTATGAGAAAAGTTAAGGTGACCTTCACTGCAGGAAAGGGAACAATGACTGCTCTGTCCTCTCAGGTACGAGACACTGGGAAATATTGAGTTTACTTAACGTGGATGGTGTTGTGTCTGCTGGTTTAATGAATCCACCTGAACCCCAGTCTGCTGGAGTCACTTCTGTTTAATCCAGCTTTGTTGCAAACTTAACACCAGCACTCATATTACGTTCCACTCCACTTCCTTAAACGGGTACTTCAGGTTTCAGTAACTGGGTATTTCAAAATAAGAGTCCTACACTGTCAGAAGAAAACATTACAGACAGRGTTAATACTAGTGTGTCGATGTTGCGCAGGTATCTTAATTATGACATCTTATTTAGTAATCATGAGATCAGGAGTTTTGTTTTTATATGAATGCATCACTTTCCTGTAAATTCCACCTTAACTAGTGATAACAAATAAAAACATCAAGACTTTTAACTGCATCTCGTGCAGCCTGCATTCACCCAACCATCTGACTGGAAAAAAAGTATATATTTCCCCAAAACTATCCACTTTTAACTCCAACATGACATGCACTGGTATGAATACTCATTTTTCCCCCCTTATTTCTTTTGTATTTACGCCTAAACCTATTTTCTGTACCTTATTTGTTTCTCCATACATTATAACAGAATCACACTCAGCTAGGGCTGGGCGGTATAAATTAAATCCCTTCACAGTAACGGTATTAGGGCTGCAACAACAAATCGATAAAATCAATAAAAAACGATTATTAAAAGCGTTGGCAACGAATTTCATTATCGATTCATTGTGTCGCAGGATTTATGCGTCCCTCACCATGTCGTGGAGCCGTTTACGTCACCCGCAGAGCGTTGTCAATGCTGGCTGAAGAAATAATAATAATTTTTATTTTTCCATCTCTGTGGGTAACAATACATAAAAAACAAGTTTTTTCTCTGACAACTCGGTTGTTAAAAACTACGGTTGTTAAAGCTTCGCTCTGCGCGACATGCAGCGGGAAGGAGGGAGGAAAATGTCCCGCCGCACGATGTAACTTTTCTAC